TATGTAGTTGCTTCTGTGGTTTAAGAAGAACGGTTCCAAGATTGGATGGAACCTGTCTCCAGATCCTCGCTTGTAAAGTCGCACACCAGGCAATGTCACATCTTCCACAAACCCCTCCTCAGGTCTTATGCATGAGCTCAGGGGAGTGCTGATCGTGACAGAGTTGATCAATCTGAATGGCAAAAGACGATCTCTTAACTCCTCTGTGTTGAATTCTTTAATGCCAAGAAGATCATGATACTCTGAAGGAGTGCGGAAGGAGATGCAACGCGACGAGATCCATAAATTCAAGATCTGAAGGTTCTCAAATCGGTTAAGACGCAACCAGTGAAAGTCGTAGACGTCGTGGCGATGTGGAATATCTGGAAGATCGAAATTGGCGCATAGCAGCTGTAACGGAAAGTCCGGGCAAAGTGAGATCTCTACGTTTTGAGCGTACTTAAAGAAGGCCGGGGGTGTAATGCCTACTTCGGGGAGAGTTTTCTCAAGTGGATGGGGCTTACAGTATCCAAAAAACTTCTGTACACTGGGCATATCGGTGAAAATGAAAGTCGTTGACTTGTAAATGGACTGCAGGCACTCTTCAGATCTTTGACTATTAGTGGTATGTTATCTTTTTTGGATAATGGCGACTCACATAGTTTTGCACAGTGAGAGCATCGGAAGATACGAGGATGAGCAAAGGTTGCTCCCAGGACCACTGCAGCCCCTCTTCCAACAAGAAAGTCCCCAGGTGGATAGTCCCGAGACAGGCTTGATGCCGTGCTTTTCATAGGCAACCTCGCCACAGGGCCAGTGGTTCATCCATGGAGATTGTAAGTACCTGACGTAAGGCGTTTTGATGTCGGAATTCCAGCTGTGAGTCTGAATACACTGACCCAGTGGAACGTCTATGCGGGCTCTCAACTCTTCAAGTTCTTTTTGCAATGGGTCCTGAACATCAAACTCGATGGAGCACGGCCAACGGCAGAAGTGCTGGTGCTCTCCTTTCCCGTGGCAAAGAATGTGCTGACGGAGGCCATGACCGCGCCAGAGCTCGAGGTAGATAGCATCGCGAATCTCGCGCGGCAGGCGACCCATGAAGGCAGATTGGTTCTGAGTACTGACGGGCATCCTGGCTGATTTGTCGAGTACGAACCGATGTGATGTGAGCTGTGGTGGAGGTGTACCACAAAAGACCGGACTTGGCCAACGGTACGTTTAAATCAGAACAGCCAACAAGAGAGCCCCCAATCTCAACACGTGACAGGTTAGTGACGGCCAACACGAGCCGTCGAAGGGTTGTGGCTGCGCCATACTATTATTAGCAATTGACGTTGGGGGTTGGCGGTTCGCATGAGCTGCAGTTGTTTTTCCCGTCATGAGTATTAATTTATGGTCGCATTAGGTCATGCGGCATCGCAAATGCGGATTTGGGCGCTTAGAACGGCGAGCAGCCAATCCGGGCGAGTCAATGGAGACCCTGTGGGAATCTGTGCTAGTTAAGGCACCCGACGTTGAAGACACCTCGTCTCTATGCAATTATTGAGGTCAAGCGCACCTGGAATGTATTGACGTGCCTGACAGCTTTGCCAAACAAGTCAATCAAAGTGGTCTTTTCTATTGAGCGCATGACCCATTATCTTAGAGATTGGAGAGTCAACAATGTCACCTCTAAAATGTGTGTTTAGTCGCTTGTGCAAGAGCTACATGAGAAATCTCCAATTCTATGTGATGGACGGTGAGGCAACATTGCTACTCACTTATTAAACTTTTGCCAATATCAGACTGGACAATGTTTTCAGGAATCTCAGCCAGAAACGTGGCCCTGAACGCTTCGCCGCCATCCGGCTTGGCGATTACGGGGCGTGATCTCCAATTACTCCGAGTTTGCCAGTGTGACATGGAGCTAGGTCATCTCATCGGCGCGAGCTTTACTCGCAGCCCCGAAACGCAGCTTTTACTCATATAGGGGACGTTAGCAGGCAGTTCAATTGTACTTTGTAGACGCCGTAAGTTCATCAACTAGGCTTGATCAACACACTAACGTGGACGGCATGCGGAGATTCTCAAGCCCTACTAAGCTTGCGGGTTACGTGCGGGGTATTCCAACTCTAGGATGTTTAATCTGGCAAGACTTCCAAGGGCAGTGGCATGATACGCAGGGCTCAGTACCTTGTTCAAACCTTTGCAATTTGGGGGCCAGGCTGAAATCCGGGAATCGCTGGGCGGATTCTGCCTGGCGCAGCACCTCTTGCACCAACATGCAAGGGTTGAACCCACAAATCACCAACAAGAGTACGCATTCTATTCTGTTGGTTTTTCTATCAAGACGTTGCTTACACTGAACCAACAAGCCATCCTCATGAGCTAGCGAAGATCTTGCCATGAAGGAATGTTCGTAAAATAACGTTCAAGGATATCTTCTAAGTTCTACGTCACGAAGCTAACGCCTGTGTCTCCGCGGACAAGATCGTGAGTGAGTTCACGCGAGTCCCACCACCAAAGTCCCATTTGATTTTGATCTAGCTAAAAGAAACTTCAAGTTCCAATGTGAAGTGAACCAAGTATATAAACGGTGCCAGTCTCCTCACTCAAAGCTGTCAGTCTCATCAGACATCACAACCTCCATCTGCAATCACTTACAACCCCCATCTTCAGACCACATCCCAACGCTTCAATACTCAGAATGAAGGCCAGCGCCATTCTTTTCTCTTCCCTCCTCACCCAGGGTAGCCTTGCGGCCATCGCTGTGTTCGCGTCGGAGACAGCTGGGGGCACTGCTGGTCTCACCTTCGACGTCTGGTACTGGGACGGACCACCAGTCGATGATTGGGCCGACCGTACGCCCAAAACCTATTGCAGACTTCAAGGAAGCTTTGACAGCTCATGCGAGGTGTCTGGTTACAAAGTCGTTTTGCACTCGGCTAATACGGATGGTTGCAATTACGGCACCGACATTAAAAGCGGTAAGTTTCACGGTGATTGGCCATGAAGTCTGATTCGTGAACGCGCCCATGTACTGACTAGTCCTCCTATAGCCACGATCACGAACTACAAGGGAGAGAGCATTGAAGTTCCCTCTGACGGTTGCAAGGAAATCAGTACCTGCGTCTCAAGCGGCCTTGGCGGTGTTAGCCTCAACGGCTGGCAGTGCGACTTCTAAAATCTTGTGTTTGGCTTAAGGTATCCCGCATTAGCACGCTAGCACAACTGTTGGCCTGTAGCTACTCAGACGCGGTCGTCGGGATAACGTTAACGGGATATCCAAAACGGATTTTCTTTGGGATGAAGAGGAGGAGCGAGAAGAGTAAATTTACATCTGTAGCCGTAGACATCTTAGGTGGTTAGGTTCAACGCATCCCGGGTCAATCCCCTGATCGCTCCCCACCCCCAGAGCGCCTATGAAGCATCGTTGCTGGGATTTATGCTAGAAGATTTGACTGAATCAAGAAGTTTATGATCCACGGCTATCTGATTTCATATTTGATAAAGAAGAAACTTCCCATCTGCTTCAAGTTCAGTGGTCATATTCACAACAGACCATGGTCTTCCCTATAGCCTACGCTTCAACTCCCTGCCAAAACACATGTACGCTATGCTGCCAAGAATGTTCAGTAGAAGACACTCGCCCTCCCTTTCCATCATGACATGACCTTCTGAGCGCTAACCAGCCTGAAACTAGACTCAAAAGTCGAGTTGAGAGCTTAACTGGCTCTGTTGCAGTATCTCCAGCCGTTGCAGGAATCGGGAAGATGATGAGAACTAGTAACATCCTATTCTATCCATGTCCTCCTATCCAGCCTTTCAAGCACAACTCCCAAAGTGTTCCTCACCCCGTCAGTTCCTGACCCTATTCTTCTGACAGTAGCCCCTCTTGCAACCCTCGCAGAGCTCTTGCTCGTGTGGCGGGCCGTCTGTTTTGTTGTAGTCCGGCCGCTCCATCTCAACGCCCGCCCACATCTTGAGCCGGTGCGCGATACGCTCCACGTAACAATCTTTGTCCACCATGAAAGCGCCGAGCGTTTTGCAGTCGATGCAGTGCTGATTGAAAACTGTGGCGTTGTAACCATTGCCCGAGTATCCCCTTATCAAAGTTGCCACCGTCCTACTGCCCCACATACTGTTGTCGCAGGCTTCGTTCTCGCACATGAACCTGCCCATGATACGTGTTTGCCATTCCTTGACTGGATTTTGGTCGCTGTCCTGATTGAACCACGTCGAGCCGATATCGTCGGCCACGGCGGTGGCAACCGCTTGGTGGAGCCGCGGAAACATGAAAGAGGCCTCTCTTTCCTTGTGGACCGTGGGCTTTCTTCTTGCCATGGATTCAAATGTAATTGGTGAGGGTACATACAAGTGCAAGTGCAGAGAGATAAATGGTTCTGCGCAGAAATGGTATGTGGCCTTCTTTTTATACAAAGAACGGCCGCGCGAGAGTACAACAACAGTGCAGGTCTTGACAGACTTTGACTTGGCGTTGTAAATGCAGGAGGCCGACAACCCCGCAGCTGGCAGGATGGCGAGACACCTGGAAGACAGGACGTCCCCGTATAACACTGCATGTCTTGTCGTCACATGTGGCAGACTTCGACGGTAAATTTGTCGAGAGGGGAAAATACTTTCAGGCCACAAATACTATTAGAATCACATGATATCTATGAATTGAATCATCCTCACCACCCCTTGCCAATGTTGCGGTTGCATGTAGGGTTAGTAACAGGCCATCTCGAGGTTATTTCCTTCCCAAAGTATTCGGCATCCTGTCGTCGGCGGGTGAAGCTAACCCTGCTGTCGATGGCACGAGGGCGCGTGGGATGTCGTCTGTTGGTGTGTTGATGTAGGAACTGTGTACTTCCACACATGCGTGACAAACAACTGCGTACACAAGCTTCTTTCGTAACAACAATCTAGCCCTTTCGGCGCTTGAATAGGCAAAAGAATGATTGTGCTCTAACGAGCGACCCAGTTACGCACGGCTCAAAGTAGGACATTGTAAAAATCGCAAAAAGAAACGGCTTTTCCGACACCGAGAATCGAACTCGGAGCTCTCCGGTGAAAGCGGAGTATGTTAACCACTACACCATGCCGGATGATGACAACAGTGGTTAAGTTTGTACCTATGTAGGGCTGCGGGGGCGGGGGCGTGGGGTATGCGTCCAATCTTGCAGGGGCAGGCATCCGGGTTTTCCGAGGTCGCCACCGGAACCGAGCCGAGCCGAGCCGGGGCCGAACACCTTTTGGCAGCTGGCGAGAGAGATGACGACAACGGAAACGGGAACAAGAACGAGGACGAGACATGGTAACAACCTAGAACAAGCAGTCTGACTTGAAATCATGCTCTGAGGATTGAGTGTATGGACACATATGTCTGTAACTTAATTAAGGTTTGATAGGTACCAGGAGGGGTTGTTCCCTGAAGAAACGCTTCCATGTGTTCCCCCGTTAGCCCCCCGGACCATGTTGAAAGGGTCATCCCCATTACAGCTGTACGCAGCCATGCAATATCTACAACTCGAAGCCAACCTCAACTATCCCGACAAGACGATCTAACACGTCTTGACCGTACTCCCACCCCCATACCACGGCGTCCAAACCGCATCGACGCGGCCCCAGTAGTAGAACTTGTACGGGTCAAACCCAGGCCCCTCCACGGCCGCCATGCACATCGTGCCCTTCCCGGGGTCCTGCGCGACGGCCATGTCCCGCGCGCCGGCGTCCTCATCCCCGGCTTCCACGCCCAGGTTGCACCACGAGAGGTGGAAGGCGCCGCACACGGCGACGTGGCACTGGTTGGGCCCGGCGCTGAGGCGCGGCGCGCCGAAGAGGGTGTTGAAGACGACGTGCATGGCCTGCAGCACGCCGTGCGAGGAGTCACCGCCGCGGTAGCAGGTCCAGGCGCGCGATGGGGCGGGGAGGCCTGGGATGGGCGAGGCCTGGCGCGGGGTGAGGAGGTGGGTGTTGTTTTGGTGGGGGGTTGTGAGGGAGAGGCCTTCTTCGAGGAGGGCTTTGGCGGATTCGTAGGCGGTTGGGGAGGAGAGGATGGGGGATGCGGTGGTGAGGGCTGCGTGGAGGAGCAGGAGGATGAGGGCTGGGAGGTTCTGCGGTGTGTGAGTATCCTAAGTGAGGTTTTTGGTGAGTCAGTTGACGTACCATCTTGACTGTTTCCTGGTGTCAGTGATGACCGCGAGCGAGACTCCCTTCCCAATCACTGGAGAGAGACTCTTGAGAAAGGTCATTGATGGGAATGACTTCAGCCCTTATGAAGCGTGGCTCATGTCCGCAGGGATGAGTGATTGTCACACAAATTCTCAAGAGGCACAAATAAGTCACCACAGATAACGTCTTGGCAAGATTAATGGGGTTTGCTTTCTTTGCCAATACTCCAGAGGGATGCTTTCATGTTTGCAAATGATGCCGGAAGCAGACCTGCTGAAATATAAGTGTCACGGTGAGGCTTCGTGAGATGAGAAGTCCGTTAGGCAATGAGCCGTGTGGAAGTTGCTTGTGCCTCGTTCGATGAAAACCCACTAGCACATCTCACAAATCACACGAATTTGGGATTTTCATTGTTGATATGAGGGCGGTTGTGACAGTGTGCCAAGCAACAGACTGGCACAAAGCCCCTCTCACTCCTCACCTCATTTTCATTTCATGTCTCACTTATGGGGTAGTTGGTGTAATAAACTAAAGAAAAAGTGTATTGTGGTATCGGTGATACTGCTGTATCAGACAGGTAGACCCTGCCACTCTAAACAGAAAAATCTGTCTGCCTCTCTCTGCGCTCATGGGCGCAGACGTCTATCTTCTAGGTATCTTGCTCTGCGGTATTGCCCGCTTAATGGCACAACTCAACGTACATCACCCCCGCCGATGCAAATGTCTCAGTTGTTGGGTATCAACTCCTCCTCCGCCGCCACCACCTCTGCCAGGATCTCGGTGCTCGCATTGCTTGGCCCCGAGCTTGCGACAGGCTCATACTTATCCTCGAGATAAACTGCAAAGTCTTAGCAAGGTGTTCAGTCAGCAGGGAAGAGAAGACTTACCATTAGGTTTGACCATGAAGGCGGCCACCAAAGCCAGTCCGAACAGGGCGGATAGGAGCACAAAGATAGCCTGGTCGAATGTGCCGACCGTCGAGTAGTACAGCGTGTTAAACGCGATGGGGCCCAGGACTCTCGCCAAGGAGTGCAGGACACCGATAGCGCCCAGCAGCTGGCCGACCTGGTCCGCCGGGACGTGCTTCGTGATGGCGGCCTGGATCGTGGCACTACCGAGACCGCCAAAGGACGTGACCATGCCGGACATGACGAAGACGGCCTCGTTCCTGGCAAAGAGGTAGCCGAGCGAGCCGGTGACGTCGGACAGGAGCGCAAAGCGGAGGATCCACGTGTCGACGGTGTCTGCGCCGTTGTTCGACTCCACGATGGACACGCCCGAGACGCGCCGGCGGTAGGCGGCGGGCCGGACGCGGAAGACGTAGTTGATGGTCGGGAGGACGATGAGCAGCGCCAGCACGCGGACCATGGAGACGGCCGAGATGAAGCGCGAGCTCTCGAGGGTGCCCCAGCCCCACGTCTCGGGCGACTCGGAGTACAGCAGCAGGACGGTGCCGGCGCTCATCGCGGCGCCGAGGAGGATCATGTCCGTGAAGGAGAGCGCGAGCAGGTTGATGCGCAGCCGAGACGAGGTGCCGGGGCCGCGGGGGTAGAGGACCTTGAGGGGCGCGAGGGGGTTCGCGGCCTTGATGGAGGCCCAGGTGGAGTTGTCGACGGCCTTGGCCTCCTGCTCGCGGTCGTGCTTCTCGCGGGCGCGCAGCTGGCGCTTGATGCTGAGGGACTCGGGGACGACGAAGCCGACGAAGATGATGAAGACGATATGGCAGCCCATGGTGACGTAGAAGACGGAGAGCAGGCTGCCGGTCCAGGTGACGAAGTAGCCGGCCAGCAGGGGGCCGAAGGCGAGGCCGGTGAAGAGGCAGGCGTGGAGATAGCCGATGCGCACGCCGCGCTTGGAGGGCGGAGTGCAGTCGCTCGTGTAAGAGTTGATGAGGACGCTGCCGGCGGTGAAGGAGCCTGTGATGCCGTCTGCGACGGCGCCGACGAGAAGCCAGTTGTAGTGGAAGGTCCAGGGGAAGTTGGCGCACAGGATGACGGTCGCTTCGGCGACGACGCCGCCGACGGATGCGATGGCGAGCAGCTTCCTCCTGCCGTAACGGTCTGACAAGTGGCCCATTCTGGGCGCAGTGATGGCGGATAAGATACCGGTAGTGAGATTAATGGCCAGGGTGAACATGGACACGCGCTTCTTCACTTCCGGGATGAAGCATTGCGGGTTGTCCGCCCCGAGCACGACAGGTGTGTACACGAACGCCGGGTCCAGGACCGTCTGGTCCGCAAAGTGCCTTTGGCATACCAAATCCACGATTCTGCAGTCGCACGGCATTAGCGACTATTTTGCGACACGCTCCGACTCACACACAACAGTCACTTTAGCGAGCAACATACAGATTCAGCTTAGGCACGAGGGAGCCTCCAAAGGCGAGGGTGAAGAGGGCATATGGGAGGAGGAGCCAGTAGACCTGGCGCAACACGCTTGTCAGCAACGAGAGAAGAAGGGATGATGATCAGCCAGCCCGCGGCGCGGGCCGGCAAGGTTTGGTGGTGTCCTACAGATGGCGTTTTCCACCAGGGCAGGTCTGCGAAGTCTGCGTAGCCGGGCCATGTGTCTTCGCAAGAGGAGGTCTCGCTGCCCGAAGCGCCGGCGCTGAGCAGCGATGTTGTTTCGGTGGCCTCGTGGATGGGTTTCCCTTGGGTGTCGCGGTCCACGCGGGTGACGACGATGTCGTCTTTTGGCGCTGACATGTTTGCGCCGAGTTGGAGCTGTCTGGCGGATACGGGTTGTTTTTGTCGCAAAGACGTTGGGAAGCTTCCTGGAGCTCTCGCTGGGCGAGAAGATGGCGTGGACGGTTCGAACAGGTTATGCTGAGCTTTTTGAGAAGCTGATTTCGTCGGGCGTCGGAGCTATTTCGTCCCTCTCGGACTTGAATGTTGGGGGCCGGTTCAGTTCTCGCAGCGACACTGCCACGATGCCATTCCTGTTGGATTGCACTTTTGGTGATACAGCAAGGTCTCTCTCAGCCGCACTCTCGCAGGAAGCGGGACGCAGTAATTATGAACAGAAAAGATAAAACGGAAATCGCTGAAGAGGGAGTGGGCTGAGGAGGGGCCGTGGCTACATGACCAAGGCCGTGACGGGCAGAGAGGTAGGAATGGGAATGGAAACGAGAAAAGAAATAGAAAACAAGCCCGCTGCGAGCTTCGTACCTACGCTACCTTACGCTACCTTACGTCGCTGGGGACTGGGGGGCGCTGTCCACATTGAGAGATAAGGCGCGTGTGGGACAGCGATGGACGCTGATGAAATCGAGCCAAGGGCCCGGGCGGCAACACAGGGACAGAGAGAGACAGAGGAACGACGCACTGGACAGAGCAGACAAGACAGGGGTTTGGGACTGTGTGGGATGGGGGGGCAGAGCTGGGATGCCGGAACTTCTGGACAGCGCGGGTAGGGATCCAGGGGGTGATGATCGGATGGAGAACCTAAGGGCACCACGCACCGCCGGGGATGCGTACTCCACGACTCGGGGAGGCGACGATGGGCGCTGCCATGCGCTGCGCAACGCTGGGAATCCAGAAGTGAAGCAGACAAGGTCAGAGCAGTGCGCGCCAACGGTTCCTATTGGCGCAGGCAGAAGAAGACTCTCAAGTGACAAAATAGAGAACAGACCAGACCAGACCAACGCCGCAACGGCCTAACCACGTTTCGTTGGGGCCGGTGGACTGGCGGAGTTTTGTTGGTACAGACAGAAAGAGATGCGGGAGGAATGGCCGCGGACTCCCTTGGACTCGACTCTATCAGCGGACGTTCATCATGTTGCGGTCATGGCAGGGCAGTTCAGCATGAACCCCCATGGAACAGGTACGTAAAAGGGCAGTGATGTGCCCTCTCCCTCTATCACACACCGTCTAACAAGTCTATCATCATCACCAGCGTCACCACCATCAATCCCTCAAAACAGGTCCTCGCAAAC